CAGTATGGCTTCATGCCCAGAAAGAGCACTACTGATGCAATTTTTGCTCTGAGAATGTTAATGGAGAAGTATAGAGATGGTCAGAAGGAGCTGCATTGTGTCTTTGTGGATTTAGAGAAAGCGTACGACAGAGTGCCGAGAGAGGAGCTATGGTACTGTATGAGGATGTCAGGAGTGGCAGAGAAGTACGTCAGAGTAGTTCAGGATATGTATGAGAGGAGTACGACAGTAATGAGATGTGCTGTAGGTCAGACAGAGGAGTTCAAGGTGGAGGTGGGGCTACATCAGTGGTTCTCAACGTGTGGGGCACGCCCCATTAGTGGGGAATAAAGACAAGACAGGTGGGGCGCAGTGAACGGACAAAATTAGAAATGGGTCATTAATACAAGTAAATTAAAATAACATCAGTTCGGGACCAGGGAGAAAAAAGTGGAACCATAGTGCAACAATAACGGTTTAACGTCGGCATGTTAATTGCTGCGCAACAATATAAGGAAACGTTTACACAGAGGGGCCAATAGTGTATGTTACATGGACGACAAAAAAAGTAGGCAATTCAGCACAAGCAGACAAAGAAAGGACAGGCAGTAGCCTTATCAACCAAAAAGCCAGCTGAAAAGAAAATATGATGAAGCCTATCTTGCGCTTGGATTCACGGTGGGAATGGTGGGGGCAGAGGAGGGACCCATGTGTGTCTTGTGTCCTAAACCGCTGCAGCAGACAGCATGAGACCCAATAAATTAAGAAGACATTTAGAGACAACACACCTCAGTCACGTTAATAAGCCACTCGACTGGCAGAATACCGTTCAGCAGAAAAATCACATGGTAAAATCTGCATCAGTGGACAGCAAGCACAAATGGCTTCCTTCAAAGTTGCATACAAAATTGCACAGTGTAAAAAAATCCCACACAATTGCGGAGCAGCTCATTCTCCCTGTAACTGTAGACATGGTGTCGATTATGCTGGATGAGACAATTGCTACAAAATTGAAAACTATCCCCGTCAAACGATACAGTTGCACTTATATTTTATCTGTTCTGAACTTTGTGTTATTTGATATTTCAATACATTTGAAATTTAAAAATTGGCCGATTTCATTTTTTTTTTGACAAGTGGGGCTTGAAAATTCACCCACCCTCTTAAGTGGGGAATGACAAAAAATGTTTGAGAACCACTGGGCTACATCAAGGATCGGCTTTGAGTCCCTTCTTGTTTGCTATGGTGATGGACAGGTTGACAGATGAGGTCAGACAGGAATCTCCGTGGACAATGATGTTTGCGGATGACATTGTGATCTGTAGTGAGAGCAGAGAGCAGGTGGAGGTCTGCTCTGGAAAGAAGAGGAATGAAAGTCAGTCGTGGTAAGACAGAATACATGTGTATGAGTGGAGAAAGGGGTCAGGAGTGTTGTGTGACAGAAGAGTGTCAGCAAGAATCAAAGGAAAGGTGTACAAGACAGTAGTGAGACCAGCTATGCTGTATGGGTTAGAGACTAGCAGTGAGGAAAAGACAAGAGGCAGAGATGAGGATGTTGAGGTTCTCTTTAGGAGTGACCAGGATGAACAAGATTAGGAATGAGCACATCAGAGGGACAGCTCAGGTTGGCTGTTTTGGGGACAAGGTCATAGAGGCCAGATTGAGAAGGTTTGGACATGTGCAGAGAAGGGATAGTGGTTATATTGGTAGAAGGATGTTGGAGATGGAGCTGCCAGGCAAGAGGTCAAGAGGAAGGCCAAAGAGGAGATATATGGATGTCCTAAAAGAGGACATGAGTTAATTGGGGTGAGAGTAGAGGATGCCGAGGATAGAGTTAGGTGGAAACAGACGATTCACTGTGGCAACCCCTAACGGGAACAACCGAAAGAAGAAGAAGAAGATGCAAGCGCCACAATCTTTCAAATAGAAGCCGATATTCAAATAATGGTCAAGACTGAAATAAAAACTAGCAGAAATCAATCAAGATCCGGCACAGAGCCAGGGATAAAACATTAAGGAGCTAACGTTACCTGCTGTCTAACAGACCTCATGGTAAATTCAACAAAATGTACATTTAAACGGTACTGATTTCCTCAATAACAAGTAAAGTAATAATGCTTACTTTTTGTTATTTATTGCTTGTTTGCATTTGTATGGTGACCTTGAGTGACATGAAAGGTTCTTTTAAACAAAAAGTATTATTATTAATAAAATTAAGGATATAGCAACCTTGACCTCTGATTATAAAATCTAATCGGTTTATCCTTGATTCCAAGTGGACATTTGGGCCAAAAGTGAAGAAATTCCCTCAAGGCGTTCCTGAGATATCATATTCACAAGAAGGGGCCGGACGGACGAACAACCCAAAAACATAATGCCTCTAGCCACGACTATCACCAGCATAATAAAAAGCACACAACCTATATACTGAGAAAAGTCTTCAGCCATGGCAGGTATAGATGGCTGCACCAGTATTAAAAATTGTTTCATAAACAGATAAAAAGCAAAGAGTAACAGAACATGCTTTAACAGTGTTGAAATGCTGTTTCGTCGCACCCCTAGAACTTAAGAGTATAGCTGTGTGCAGTTTTCTGGGCAATGCATTATTAGTACCAAGATTTCAAGGGTGTTTATTTTTGGCAGTACCTCTCTATAACTATCATGCAGAAGTGTTTCTTTATGAGTACAGAGCTATTTTAACTAACAGAAAGTCAGAACAAACCATACAGTAATTATCTAGTTAACAGCTAGACAACACCTTTATAACACACATTACTTCCTAACTGTGTTGAAAGCAGCAAAAGGAACAAGTCCATTCAGGTTCTTGAAAGCAATGAAGTCAGAACTTTTCACTGCCACCACATTCCATAGGTCATTTCCCATCCAATTAAGCTTATTTCCAAATACACAAAAAACAGAAAGATTAATAAAAGAAATTCAATGTTTAGCAGTTCTACAATTTATTTGATGTTTTATGTCATCTTCGTGAGCTCATAGAATTTGCTTATTCGATACAATGTAGAGCCGGACCACCTCAAACATCCAACACTCAGCCAAGTTCCCCACAGTGTGAACTGCTGACCACAGTCCTAATATTAAAATTCAAAAAAACTAGGCACTGCGAAGCACAGAGTTCTCTAAGGTGAAATCATACTGAAAGTTAGCCAGGTTATAGCTGATGTCCTGGGACAGCAGCACATCAGGAATGAAGGGGACTCCTGCCTGCATGGCCAAGACATGAGGAGCCAAAGTGAAGGGGACATCACCAAGAAGATCTGGGAGAGCTGAAGCAGCTTCCACCACTGAGGGCTCTGCTATCACCCCATTTGTAGGTAAAGGTGGGGGGAGCTTTATGCCAGCAGGTTGATCTGGAGTTGTACGTGATGACTGTTAGAAAAAGAAGGCACAGAGTCAATGCCAGTGTCCAATACTGAACCGAGTGTTCAGATATAACAGGATTTTCTTTTCACAGAGCTTCTACTTTTTCCTCCCACCTTTTGTGCCACTCTAACCTGATCTACTGTATATACTGTACATCCAGAAGGCCAAAACTGTAACTAGAGAAATAGTTCAATCAAGTCAAGGTTTTTCACCCTTTTCATTTTAGCTTAGCAATGTTACTCTTTTATGGGATACTCCAGAACAATGCTCATGGGCATTTTTGCAGGGCACATATATTCTGTTTTCTGTGTGAAATTGGACATTCTTAAAGCTCCCATTAATTCAAAATTAACTGATTATTCTTATCTATTATGGCACTGTGAGAGAGTGGTTTGAGTTAGCCTTGTGGTCCGTTGTGCTTTGCTACAAAACAAGATCCTCCACCTTGAGACCACACCTGTTAACCTCCAAACAAGTTTTCTGTAGCTGTGGATTAGACCTGCACAATGTTCAGGATGAATTTTGGACCATTCTTCCTGACAGAACCGCTTCAGACCTTTTCACAGCAGACATTTTGACATGTCCTAGTAGGAAAAGCACAAGGTGATAATACTCACAATGGCTGCATTCCTTTTATATGAGCCATTTCAAGGATTGTGGTATTATGAATGCTTGCTGAGTGGCACTGTTTAGTGGGACACTTAGTGGAACTCAGCCATCATTAGTGTTGTTATCTAACAGTTCCTTTTCTACCATGACAACTCAAAATGTCTGCTGTGAAAAAGGTCTATTCCTAGAATGTCTTGTGTGAACGGCTCTCTGAGCTCATTCTACAACATCTCCATTGGGTTAAGGTCTGGGTTCTGGTAGGGTCATTGTCCTGCTCCATCACCCACCCAGTTTCTACTGAGCTTCAACTGGTGGACAGTCACCCTGACATTATCCTGGAAGAGACCTTGATAAACCTGGGAAATCAACAATGGCAGCTGTCCAGGCCCAGATGCAGCAAAGCAGCCCCACATCATGATGGTCTCTCCACTACACTTCACCTCTGGGATGATGCTTTCATGTTGGTATGCAGTGCCCTTTAAACAGCATACACTACTTCATGTTCTTCCCAAACCATTAAAATTTTGTTTTCCCAGTAACATTGTGAGTGTGGAGGTGCTCTTTGGAAAGCTTCAGGTGCTACATGACAGAGCTTCTTTGCTAAAGAAGGTGCCAGCTGCTGCTGGAAACAGACATGATTGGAGCTGAGTTTGCTGATAATTCTCTGTGAGTTTGCACTATGAGAGCCAGCTTTCGCATTACACATAGCCATTAGATCAGTTATTCATCTAAAACATGGATGAAAGGAGCTTGAAGAAAAACTAAACAAAAGGGGACACACAAATACTTTAGTAACATAAGAGTTTCTAAATATAGATATATATACTGCTACTGCCACGGCATTATGCTGAGTCAGGAAAACACAGCAACACTGCTGTACGTACTATATGTCTGTGATGCATAAATCATGTACACTTTGAAGCAAGGTTGGGGTTTTGTTTCATCTCTGGGATATGTTGTTGCTCCCACATGCCTTATGGACCAAATGTGTGCACACGCTGTCTGGAAAAAAATGTCCCTAATTAGAAACCAAGCAATTAACACTAAAGTATTAAAGTACATAAAGTAAATGTTAACACCAAACAGGAGGTCATCAGAACTTTTGGGAGGCATGTGCTACAAGCTCATTTTTAAAGTCAATGTGTGAGTGGTGCATTTTGGCACACAAGCTCAGCAGGGGTTCCCAGCACCGGTCAACGTCTCAGCAGTGGAGACTGTAGTGTATGAACCCTGCAGGACTCGGCCACATGAGGAGCTCACACCTAGTGGTTCTAAAGGTGAATCGCTCAGTATGAGCAGATAGACAACAGGCCTTTTCCTCTCATGAAAACTGTTTTCCTCTCTAAACCTCATATCATGAACTGAAACCACCGAGTGTGCATCACCAAGCTCACTTTGGACGGCTGCACTATGACGTTTGTTGAGGGCTGTACGATGTTCACAGTCTGCATCTTCCTCCTCTGTTCTTCAACTGTCTCTCCTGCAGAGAAAATGAAATGCATATTAGACTATTTACAAAAAACTACATTACTCAAGTCTAAGACAAAATGTTAGTAATTGTAGGTTTCTCTTGACAAACTCCTGTTTTCACTTGACTTTAATCTCTCATTTCCTGCAGATGTGTCCATAACTGTAAATGAGTCAGTGAGTCTTGACAGCATTTTCTTTGTTGCAGCCTATTTCTGAATGGATAACTGCTGTATATTTGACAAACCTTTAATTATCAGATTCATCCAGCACTCTGACAGTGTTAACATATACGGTACATTGGATGTCCTAAACCGATTTAAGATCACAACAGACTGCTAAATTAACTAGGACAACCAGAGGCATCCTAGTGGGATTCGCTCCATATGTCCAGTCTGTCAGCCAGTCTTTAAGTCTCAAGGAGTCTTTCAAGGATCTTTACAGGCACACCCTAAAGTCAGGGGCCCCCTGAGAGGAAGACTTGGGCAGTGCATGACATAATCATGGCATCACATGGAACAGCTAGATGAGTGAAAGATCCTGGACAAGAGACTGGATGAACACCAGAAATCAACTACATCAACTGCCTGTGGACAACAGATACAGCATCCGCTGGGAAGAGAGGTCAGAGGTCATCAACCAGGAGTCAGTGGATGACCTGAGAAAGACTAAGGAGGACTTGCATCTGACAGCAGAGACTGTCTTTGAGGGAGGATTATTATTTCCCCCATGCAACCACCTATTTTAGCCCACAGCTGACTGTTTAAAAGATGTCAGTGCTCACACAACACAACAGAAGAGATTTTTTGCTAAAACTGATTTAGAGTACAACATTATTTCCTCAAAACAAATCATGACAATGAGGGGGATTATCTGTGCTCTACACGTTTTTCAGATGAATATTCGTGGATTAGAAAGCATTAGGACTACTAGATAATGAGCAAACACAGTTTTACTGTATGAATTATTCTGAGCTCAGGTTTATGCCTCCAAATCTGAGAGGCTGGATATCTGCCCCATTTTGCTTTATCCTGTGATTAGGTACAATTGTGGTCAACTGTTCACATTAAGACAGTTCCTTCACTATATTCAGAACAGGTTATCAGCAACACTTCATAACAATGTTATAAAAATAAGCTTCGGATGAGTCAGACACATGAGGAGACTCGGGTATTCTAGTCCATGTCCCTAGCCAATTAATTAGCTCTCTCTCATGAAGTGAAGCACTGAGTGAGTAGAGGCACAAGGGGAGAAGAGAGTGAGAAGGTAATGCTGCTGTTCTTCTCATCCTCTCCAGGGTCAAACTGACTCCACACAGTGAAATCATTCAAGATGATGTCACCGTCTCCACAAGCAGCTTCCTCTGGAAGAAGAGTGCTTTCTTCCTGCACTCAGCCAGGCCCTGGACCCTCTATGTGTGCCACAGGATCATTCCTACAATCAGCTAAATACTGTTTTTCACCAGGCATCTGCCATGTTTTGTTGTGGATGTTCTTGTTTCAACACAAAACAGCAACTGTGAGGTTCAAGTGTATTTGAGCATCTTTGATAAACTGTGATGTATTCACAGCTTTGCTTTTTTACCCTTGGGAATATAAATGACAATTTTTACAAGTTTCTTGTAATGTAGATGTAAATACAACAAAACAATATCTGCATGTACATAACATCACTGTATGGTTTCATTTCAAATCCAATGTGCTGGAGTACATAGACAAAACAAAGCTTTCCTAATAGTGAAGACCTGCATTTTAAAGAACAGGCTCCCCCCTTTTTTTTAGTCTGCCCTAAAGTAACCAACAGCCAGGTGCCCATATCTACATTATTTTCTCAATTCATTGATATAATGTTATGTCTGAAAATAGTGAAACAGACCCATTATAAACTCCCACAACCCAAAGCAACACCTTAAATGGTTGTTTTATTCAAACAAAAGTCCAAAATCCAGAGAGATGTGTTTTACTATGATATGTGACCAGTAAGCAGCAGGTCTTTTCCCATCTGACGAGATGAAACCATCAATATTTGACTTTTTTTTTGCTTGAAATACAGTACCAGTCTTTGGACATACTTTCCTATTCAGTTCAAAGGCAAAGTGTGCCCCTGGACTGGCAGTTTACAACTATAATGATTAATTGATTAACACAACAGTTGCTGAATAATTTTCTGTTGCCTGAATAATCAAATAATTGAGTAGTGCTCGTTGCAGCTCTATTCTTGTTCATCCAGGCCATTAACAGACCCTCAGTCTTCAGTCTGTACAGAAATCTATTTTAAGTAACGACAGAATTTGTACCATGAAAACCCCATCTAACTTGGGAAAATGGAGGATGTACACTGCCAGTCAAAAGTCTGGATGCACTTTCCCATTGAACTGAATGGAAACGTATGTCCAAACGTTTGACTGGTAGTGTACACTTGAGGACCTGATTATTGTTTTAAGACGCACTTGATTAACCTCTCTCTATTAACAGGCTATGTTCCACAGGCTTTTAAAGTTACAGTAATTAAACCTCTACTCAAAAAGCCTACTCTTGACCCAGGTGTCCTAGCTAATTATAGACCAATATCCAATCTACCATTTATTTCCAAAATCCTTGAAAAAGCCGTTGCAAAGCAGTTATGTGACCACTTGCATAAGAATGATTTGTTTGAGGATTTTCAGTCAGGAT